GCAGCAGTCGAAAGTCTGCTGCTCTCTGCTGTGTGTGCGTCCGCGCCAACATATACGCACGCGCACGCCTTTTGGTTTCAACCAAGCAACCGACGTCACAAATCAAATACGCTTTGATCTACGACAACAAAAAGATAGCCTAGCCGAAACAACAGCCTTGCTTAGCTGACGCACACACAGCAGAGAGCAGCGAACTATCGACTGCTGAGGCGCGCTTCGCTCGACTGGCGTCGCTACATATTTGTCTGTCACTTATTGAGATAAATAAATTCGATGAATAGATTTTTCCAGAAAATACGGTAATTGTTTGCCGAGCCGGCAACCAAACCATCCATTCACTGCCCTAGGATGTCGTCAGTCTATTGTTGTTTCCCGGAATGACCCGAAGTGATCACGTGATCATCGTCGGAACTAATCTAATCGGAGACGGCGAAAAAGCAGAGCGGGTACCAGGTCCTGCATGTTCCGACAAAACTATGAATTGGAAGGGTGGGGAAAATGACATACACAAATGAAATGAACACCACAGGTTAATTTTTATGGATTTTTATGGATTTTAGAAGATTTCCCTGAAAATTATGGACAATTAAGAACATAATTTTACAACTTCTTTTTTTATTGATTTTTATGAACTTTATGGACCCGTACGAACCCTGAATATTGTAGGTTGCAAAGACACGAATGACATGAAATAGAATTGAAAAGAATTAATGAGTTTTTGTCACAATGCATCAGTTGAATGGCCATTGTGCCGCTGTTTAAGGTGTGCCTGCCTTGGCCATCTCTGAGGGAAGTTTAAGACCTACAGAGGGATATCGTGGTTGTTGAGACTTCTCAACTTTTCGCATCTCAACGATATGCAGTGTTGTTTTTGGCAGCCATTTTAGATTCAGTCTTAGTCTCAGTCTTTTGGGCAAAAATGCTTATTAGTTTTAGTCACATTTTAGTGATTCCTATTTGTGACAGTTTTAGTCTGGTTTTAGTTGATGAAAACTCAAAAACGTTTTCGTCTAGTTTCAGTCAACAAATATTCAAAAACGTTTTAGTTTAGTTTTAGTTAAAAATAGACATGCAAGGTTTCCACCCAATAGCAAAGACTGATCTACTAACACATCCTGTAAAGGTCTATCGGTGAATACAAAACAATTAAAAGTAGGTATTATATCTTTAAATAGATAAATATCTTTGACTATATAAAGAAATATGTTTTAATAACTTATTAATCACATGGCACCCTGTGTCTAAGCCTTTTGATACTTCATTCTGAGCAACAGCCCAAATTACAATGTATCAGTAATGTATTTCAAACACATAAGTTTGACAAAATTTAAATGGTGGTAAGTTCATTTCATCCTCTTTCTCTTCCTGACATCTATAGTTGGGAAAGAGATAACGTCAAAATCTCCTCAATGGCTGCATCAAAAAGGGTGAAAGCTCCCTAAGAACTGTACCCAAGGATGGCTGACTGATGTGGTGACCAACTAGATTAAGGTCAGGTCAGCAGTGAATCATTGGGGTGATGAACTGAAAAGAGTATTTTCTGCTCCACCAACCCAAGCACCGTCAACAACAGTTAGAGGAGTAAGTCGGGATAAAACAGCATATGGTTTATGATAAACGTGGATGAAATTTGAAATGGTTTTACTATTTTTAATTGTTATGATCATTACTATGACATCATAATGTGCGTGATGTGCAGTCTGTGTCTGTGTGAATGTGGCCCCTTTAAGTGGAGCGAGAAAGAGTATTTCCAAATTAGCAATTTTGTTATCAGAGGTAGGCAATTGACAAAATGTTGCCAGTTTGTTATAAGTCATCTGTCAGCAGCCTGAGCAACCGTCCATCATCGTCAGGCTGTCATTTTTTTCAAGCCGACCAAACAGTAATCGCCAGTCGATCAGTCCATCACGTTATTTTAACAGTACTTCCATCACCTATTACTTCAATAAATTTTACCGGTCCGCTAGTCCGTCTATCGTCAGTCTGTTACTCCCCCCCAATATTTTTGGAATGTGGGATGGAAGCGGAGAAAATCCTACGCAGTGACAATCAGTCAACCACCGTGCCGACATTTCACATATACTTATTTGTCAGTCTATTGAACTGTCAAGTACAGCGGGAACATGCTGGTGGCTGCTTGCCACCATTTTAACTCCTAAAATGCCAAAAAGTTATACTTTAAAGTTTAAAATGGCTTAACCAGAATAATGCTCCGCATTGTGACCCAAGGTACAATCCAGTCTAAGTTGCTTGCATTCCCACACCTGTCAAAAAATACTTTCGACATCTTCCACTTCTTTCTTCTTCTTCATTAGCAGATTGCGGCTCTAAAGTGCATACCGCCACGTGCTATATAGGAAGCGCAAAGCATTTCCATATATAGTCAATGGAACCAACCCTGCTTTTATTTAGCCCCGCGAATAAACACACGAGGCTGGCGGGATGTGTTTCTGTCAGTCTGAGTATCGTTTAGTTGGTATTTAACTATGCTTTTGGTATTATCTTCGTTTCATAATGGCTGCGCAGAGCTCAGAACGGAGTTGTCCGTTGGAGTGTGTGTCGGGCAGAATCCTTTAAGGTTACAATTGGGTCCTGCTAATAATTACCACAAGATGGTATCAGAATACTAACAGGGAAAGAATTCAATGGGGAATATAAAGAGACTGTAACACCATATTTAAGGTGCATCGGATTATAAGGCTCACTGCCGTTTTTTTCAAAAAATTGAATGCTTTTAGGTGCGCCTTATTGTACGGAAAATATGGTAGTTATATCCTGCCCAAAAGATTTCCAACATATTTTGTCGAGCAACACAACAGAGTGGGCCCTATTTTCGCACGTTATGGTCCTGCTGGTCTAAAAATAAGTATTTGGGAATTTGGCAGACCGCGCTACGACTTTGTGTGCGTTCTGGCAGATCGAGGGTGTTTATTTTTTTTTTTTTAAAATACACACGCTCGGCACACCTGACAATCTGGTGACAGAGAGTGGACTAGACTTTAGACCAGGTGGACCCAGGTCTAAGTTGTGGCGCAAGTGGTGTAATGAGATTTTGTTGGATTTCACCCAGGCGCAGACAGAAAGAATCTGCCCTCTGCTCATATATGTGGTGGATGTCATCATAATTCATTCAGAAATATGACATCAGTGCATGAAACCTTCTGAATCATTACACTGTAGAAATTAATTCATTGAACGAACACTGAATAATCATCAAAATCATAATCATAATAAGAATAAGAATTTTACTGCTATTCTATATCTTGAATATATTTTTAAAGGCCACCCCGTACTGCGCCACAACTGGTGTGGTTGTTTGTGTTGAAGGGGAGGGGGTATTGGTTGATGCTGTCATGCACAGACAGACGCACGATTGTTGAGGGCGGTCTCCAAGTGTCCACTGAGTCTCCAAGTGTCCACTGAGCAGCGGCCAACTTCCACAAGTGTAGAGCTCCTTGCATTTCTTTATAAATGTATTTTGCCCCTGCCGATCTCCTGCACGGACTCGGGCATGTCCATTATGCTTCGGCCATGGAGACCACGCGCCTCTCCTGTGCTGTACTTAAAGGAAATGAGGGGAGCCGCTTGAATTGGCCTGGAAACAAGTCAGCTGTATTCAGTCCCACAATGGTGCTGACGTCCATTTTTAACTGCACCCACCCACAAAAACACCAAAAAAAGGTAAACTCCACCCATGCACAGAGATAGATTGCACTGAACACTCGACTTGTGGCGGGCAAGAAAATAGGGCCCAATAAGTTGCCCAGATCACAAGACCCCTCAGTTTTCTTTGACTCAGCAGTTCAGAGATGACTCAATCATCACTACATTGCAAACAACCCACCAACCAAAACCACGATAAATTGTTTACCAAAATTCTTAAATTTGATTTTAGCTCATTTTTTTTCTATCATTAGATTGCAGAGACACAACACAACCTCCTGTCGATGAATTAGAGAGAGACCACCATCAGTTGAAACTCAACAAATCAATCATGCAACATTGGGCAGTGTACTCACATACCTGACAAATGGAACTCATTCATGAAAATAACATGAATGTACAAAAAGGATGACAGAAAGGACTCTTGCATCTGGAGAACATCTAGCGAGCTTGTGTAGAGACAATTTAGTGCCCAATGTTTACAAGATGAGAGAGATGATAATAAGAAGGATGTGTTGTCACCGACCCTCTTCCTTCTGTGTATTTATTATCACTTGCTCATTTATTTTGGCGAGTCCACTTCCGGGGACCTCCTGGTTGTTTCTTTCCTTTAATTAGCAGGCTGGACCAGTGGGTGTTGCCACATCTGCAGCTGATCAGCAATCACCTCCTGTGTACAAGACCTCTGCTGATCTGCAAGTGGGTGCCAGATTATTCACACATTATGAGTGGTATCTTGGCCATGACGAGGGCATTTTGGATTTTGGTGCAAAACCATTTGATTTTGATTGTCTTTTTCCAGTGCCTCCCTGCCCAGCCTGGCTCCGCGTTTTCCCTCACGGACCACTCGACCCTACACTTATACTTCTTGCTCGTGATGGGTCCATGAGGCCTCATGAGGCGTGTCGACACACTGACACACTGTGTTGATGCTGTGCTGATACTGTGTCGCTGACCACTGCCACCTACTGGACCTTAAAACTCCCTGCAGCCAACCCACTTGACAGACTGAACTGACTGATTTGATGATGAAGTGTATACAATATCATTCACATCCATGCATTCATATTGTATCATTCAATGTGTGTCAATAATGTGAAAATCATGTGAATGAGGATGCTTGTGGGCTTTGTCTTCACAAATTTTTATTTAGAAAAATAAGATGCTCCAGTGTTTTAAATTTCAGTCTGTTGTGTTTCTTGCATGCTATTTCCCCTGCTGTGGAGAACACACACACAATGGAATAAGACATGTCACACGTACTCATGGCACCGACGGCACCCACGCCACATATTAAAGAAGCTTTGAACTACGACAACAGCTAAGCTAGCCTAGCCGACACGACGCTCGAAGTCAGACGGACACATTTTTCTGATAATCTGTGTATTTTCTTTTTTTGCCCAAATATATATTTTTATTCGAGCGAGGGTGAGATCTGGCTTGTTTCGGCAGGCGGCATCGTGTCGCCAGACTCACTTCCTTATAAACACTGTGTGGTGGGTTTCGCTGCGTCAACGCCCCCTGGACTGAGTCGATGCCGCCTGGACTGTGTCACACAGCCTGGACTGTGTCAACGCCGACCCAGTTCACGTGTTGATCACGTGATCTCATGAAGCAGCACACGCACCGACACCTGGATTGCTCTGGGAGCCCGACGCATCAGTGTCGCTGGAGCCATCACTACTTCTTGCCATTCGCTTTTGGATCTACTTCTGCGTTTACCTTTATTACCCGCAACAAAAGATGGCACAAAAATTGCACGGTGTGGTGAAACCAGCAGGTTCTTTGCAATGTACGGTAGCTATCTGGTGCTTCTGGTCAAGGATCAGGATCAGCTGGTTTGGTTCTGAATTATTATTATTTTTTAATGTTTAATTATGGGCGGCCTGGTGGTCCAGTGTTGAGCGTGTCGACCTCACAGTGCAGAGGTACTGGGTTCAATTCCAGCTCCGGCCTTCCTGTGTAGAGTTTGCATGTTCTCCCCGTGCTTGCGTGGGTTTTCTCCCGGTACTCCAGTTTCCTCCCACATTTCAAAAACATGAATGGCAGGCTGATTGAACACTCAAAATTGTCCCGAGGTGTGAGTGTGAGCGCGGATGGTTGTAGACGGCTGGGATAGGCTCCAGCACCCCCCCGAGACCCTTGTGAGGATAAAGCGGTTCGGAAAATGGATGGGTGTTTATTTTATTACACAGAAAAGAAATCTGATTGGGTTCATTTGACGATCATAAGCTACTGAGTGAATATTCAAAATAATGCTGATCTTGAGAGATATATGTATATCCATCCATTTTCCGAAAAAAATTCTGCATACTGTTAAATTACACAATCATTCTTCTATAATCATAATTGTTCAAAAAATATATACATCCATAATCCAAACTGCTTATCCTCATGAGGGTTGCAGATGTGCTCCTACATTCCATAAAAATGCATGGTAAATTAATTGTACGCTCTAAATTGTCCCAAGGTGTGATTGTGAGCGTGAATGGTTGTTTGTCTATGTGTGCCCTGCAATTGGCTGGCAACCAGTTCAGGTTGTACCCCGCCTACTGCCCGAAGACAGCTGGGATAGGTCCCAGTTGAGGGAAACTTTTTATTTTTGCATTAATCCAGCCTAAAATAATTGATAATCATACTCATCTAGCTTTAGGCAGTGCAATTACTTGACATGCTTGACCTGCAAAATGTACACCATTGCAGATGCAGTCTCGGTCTTGATAAAGTGCAGTGGCTCAAACAAATTCATAATTCTATCATTTTATTTCCATTAACAATGTATCA